ATTTATTATTTATATAAATTTAATAGATAGATATTTGAAAAAGTTGAGGACTGGTTTGTGATTGGATAAAACTATGCGATGTCCCGTAGTGCAAGTGTAGGAGAGAGGAAAGTTCACGCCCTCGGGAGAAAAAAACCCTCTCTAAAAAAACCTCGATCCTCGTAAACTCTAATTTTCTACTCGCCTCTCCACAGTGGCGCCTCACTTTCCTCCGGTAGGAGCCAATTCCCGTGGCGGTACCGGCGTGGGTCGCCGATTCGAGGGTCGTCACTCTCTTCCTCGCGTGGGTTCCCCCTTCTTTTCCTTAGGAGGGCCATTGCGGATGCGTTTGTGGTGGTCGTCAGGCGGCTTTGTGGCGGCATTGGGCGCTTGGTCGTCTGGCAGTTGAAGCTTGTGGATTGCTGCTTTGTGGCTCTGCCTCTCCGCCTCTGTTTCGACCGTGGTGTTGGGCTAACAGGGACTGTAGCCGGCGGAGGCGGGCGATAACTTGTCGTCGACTGGTCTGGGTGGGGGTCTGGGCGTGGTTTCGTTGGTGCTAGTCCGAGAGTGACCTCCTGGGTAGGGCTTCGTCTTAGGTCCGGGTCTCGATAGCCGGTCGCGGAGTTTCTAAGATTTTGGGCTGGGATTTGATCACTTTGGGTAGTCATCTGAGTGTTGGCTTGTTTGAGGTTGCTAGGCGAGGTTTGGCCGTTGTGGAGAGGGATTTAGTCTTTATATTGTGTTTTTTTGGTTAGTGTTTTGTGCGTGTTTTGTGTGTTTTCAGTCTCTTCTCTCCCTTCCAGAGTGTGTTTTTTGTAGTCTCCCTCTGTGGAGTGTTGTTGTCTCCCTTGTAGAGTTTTTTTGTCTCATAGATGTGAGTGTTTTGTGGTTTTGTCTCTTTAGCCTTGAAGAATCGTGTAGGGGAATACTTGATTTGTTTTCTCCCGTTTGATTTTCTTTTCGATCTAGGTTAATAAAGATTGTAAAGTGTAATATGTTGATTGTCAGTTTGTACTTTCAAAGTGCAGTAATTTAATTTGATAGTTTGAGAACAAAAAATATAGAAAAGAGAAAAGTACAGTCGTATCGGTTAAAACTTAAAACAAGATTATTGATTTGCATTTGAAAGAATTTATTTAAGTAACCAACATTAAATAATATTTTATCTTTTCCATACACCGATACACGGGTACATGTCCTAGGAGTTATAACTACAACTAAGCGAAATACGAAAGAGAAAAGTACAGTCGTATCGGTTAAAATTTAAAACAAGATTATTGATTTGCGTTTGAAAGAATTTATTTAAGTAACCAACATTAAATAATATTTTATCTTTTCCATACACCGATACACGGGCATATGTCCTAGGAGTTATAACTACAACTAAGCGAAATACGAAAGATCTCTAGGTTCATTTCTAGATCAAGGAACAATAGTAATTAACACTTTTATGAAATGAAAATGACCCACAATGAGATGCTATTATCGTAAAATAACATGGGATGTCACCACTTGAAAATGAGGGGTTTGATCATTGTTGGACAATTTAGATCGTTTCCAACCGAAATCGAAAATGCAAAAAATGAGATGAAAATGGTTCAATCGAAATGCAAAAGCGGACGCAAAATGCGATATTTCTCTCCTTAAAATGCAAATTTGCGTTCGAACTTTTTAAATTACAATCAAATTTCATTTTTATTATAAATTAAACATGAACATTGACAAGTATATGTAAAAGAAATTTTTTTTACTTACTATAAAAATAATTTCACAATTCAAATGGGAAAGTGATTTTTTTTTTAAATTAAATAAGATAATTTATATTTTAATTGTGTATTTATCTATTCTAGTTGTAGAAAAAATACACTAAAACTATTAAATACACCAAAAAAAAAAGATATGTATAGTGTGACATTATTTATTAGATAACAAAATCAATCAATAATTTAAAAAATATTTACAAACTATTTAACGTGGAAAAATATTTGTAAAAATATTTCCATGCATACAAAGTTTCCAACTAGCGTATTGTAAGAAAATATTTATGTTGTTCTAAAATACATTTAAAATTTCAGGTAAGAAAACTATAATTTTGGCTTAAATTACATATATATATTTTAATATTTTTACGTGTATGAATTATCAACTTATAAGTAAAATATTACATTTTTCTCAATCGCATATAAAATAATAAAACATGTATTTCAATATTTTTTTTGAGTGAACATTTTATCTATTTTTTACTTGTACGAATGATTACTTTATGCTCATCCTAATGTATTTATATAATTAATTTAGCTTGTGTATTTTAATATTCTATTTTTGATGAACATTCCTCGTGTATGAATAATTCTTCCTTTCAAATTTTACTCGTGTAATGAATAATTAATTTTGCATAGATTTCCAATCGAATTTATAAAATATTAATGTGGTTTAATATGTAAAGATGTAAAATACGTAGATATTATTGAAAAGCTGTAAAAGTTTATGTAGAGGGAATATTCTGTGAGCGTTCTTTTGAATTTGAGAATGAATTTTTTGGTTAGAGATAAACTACTATTTGATGTGACCATTACTACAAAATTGATTTGAGAGTGAGTTTTTTAATTAGAGATAATATTAAATCTTAATACATCACAAACACATGATCTAAAAAAAATTAGTTGGACATCATATTGGAGTTGTGTAACGTTGTATAATCCTATATGTATATAATTCTAAAGCTTCTTTTGAACTGTATTTTCTGTTGGTCTTATTACAAGGATGGCAATTAGGATCTAATTCTAAAGCTTCTTTTGAACTGTTGTTTTTGTTGGTCTTATTACAAGGATGGCGATTGTTTGGGTACAGGTCCATTATTTTCCATGGTTCTGACTCGTTAGTTGCAATTGATGAAGGATTTTTTTTTTTTTTTCATATAGTACGACATTTAAAATAAAATAATATATAAATTATTTATCAACGAGACATAACAAAAAACAATGCAATTTAAAAACTAATAGCAAAAATAATCACAAATCAACCATTTATAAACAAGAAAAGATAGAATATTTGACGATAAAAACAAAAAGTTCGTAAATATACAAATAAAAGATAATTATAGATGAATGGCGTAATTTTCTCATTAATGAACGAATGATTGAATGTTTACTTGTCTCCATGCATAATTCGTGTTTTTTTCTTTTTAATTCTTTTTTCTCTTTTAAAGAGGATCAATAGTGGTTCGCCATTTACATAGTATTTACTATTTAGTGCAATGCATAAGTAAAATCACTTGAATAAAACAAATTTTCACATGTTAAGGGTGTGCTTATTTATAAATATATTGATATTTGATTTTTTTTTTTCGCTAAGCAGGATTAATTTTGAAAAAGTCGGTATAGTTAGTTGTTAATGAAATTTAAATTCTATATTAAAATAATATTTGAAATAAAATAATTAAAATTAATTTAATGTAAAAGTATGAAATAGACGATTAGAATTGATAAGTAATTAAACTATGTGATTGCATAAATAATTAATTAAAATTGATAGGATATTTAAAGACGATTGATTGATATTATTTAATTATACTAATAATATGAGTTAGATTTTGACTATTTTTTTTTAGTAAACTAGTAAACAAGCAAGCCCTAAAATGTTTTAAAATGACTACTATGTTATATAGTCGAACAAACTATGTATCAATTATAATCATGAAATTTTTAGTAAAATATAAACGCACAATGGGAAGCACAGTACATCACGTGTAAATTTACCAGTAAATTCGACTCGTCAACAACCTTTATCGAAACCCGTATCAATGGCTGAACGTGCTCACAAAGCCAAAAACTTAAAACTGCCCTGGCAACAAACAACACCAGCATCTAAAAGCTATATGGCGGTCAAATATACAACACTGACAAAGGCTGGTAGCTGTAAATTCCCGGTAAAAACTCAAACCACGGCATTTAACATACTGATATTCAGCTAAGCAAAGAACCACATCTTGATGAAGACAGATAAACCCATTTGCAGCACAAATGCCGAGATGGGCACGATTGTGAGGTCGTTGGTCTGAATGTAAGATCCGAGGTTCAAACCAACAAAGCTTGCAGAAGCACCACCGGCAACTAATATGATAAGCCACCGAACAAACTCGACCGGCACAATCAACAGAAACTGGGACATAAACATACCACGAACAAAAAAGTATCACGTATCACGTTACAAGAAAAGAAACAAAAGAATAACTATGAAGTAAGTTTAACAGGTGGAAATATGCTAATCAATAGGATTTGAACTCTTTCGGCACTAAGAGGATTTCGTGATCATATATTTGAATTTCATTAATTCAAATTTCTTGGTAATTGTAATCGAAAATGTTTCAAATCCATTACAAATTCTGAATACTTCTCTGTTATTTTATTTATATATAAAACATATGAACTTTCCAACTTGTAGTGGGTGAAGTGAGTGTAATATGTAGTGTCCAAGTGAAAAATATGTGTAATGTGTGTGTGTTGTGATTGAGTTTATGTGTAATTGCGTCAAACTAGATTTAGGATCTGACGGACTTCAAATCCTCCCCCCAAAATTTCGTCAATCCAAGTGCAACCAGACAGAGAGACACTCACAGAAGTCAGGATAAAAATGAAAAGGGAATATCCCCACAGGCACCAAAGGCGTATGAGGCTGACGCTCGAACCCATGTACTGAATCAAAAAGTAATATCCCATTGGAACTAAGAGTGCATAACCATAAATCGAGCCAGCCGCCACATTTACGTAGTTGACATCGAATGTCCATGAAGAACCACCATTGCTTTTTCTTTGCATTAAGTAGGTTGCACAGTTTCCAAGGGAGGCAATCACGAAAACCAATGTTGTTGAGATCCACACAAGACCATAGCTAAAAA